TTCCTCAGCACAATTAAGTGTTCTGGAATTCCCATTCTTTTCAATGTTACTCATAATTTGTTATGATTCATACAGTAAAATGTCTTTTCATAGGCAATAAAACACAGGTAGACATCTTTTGATAATCTTTGCTTTCATTTAAGATCTATCCGATAACAGTTGATGATATCCCTTGTTCCACATATTCTTCTGAATCCAGCTTGTATTTCTAGAAGTTACCTGTAAATATAATGTTTCAACTGTTTTTGAATTATCTTCAGCAAAATTTTACTTGGCGTGTGATAGTGTTGATGTTGTTTGATAATTTCCATATTATGTTGGATCACTTTTCTTTGGAATGGGCACAAACATGGATCTCTTCCAGTTGGTTGGCCAGGAAGCTATCTTCCAAATTTCTTGGCATAAATTAATAAGCATCTCCAGTACTGCATCCATTTGTAAAACATCTCAGTGGGTATTCCATTAATTCCTGGAGCCTTGTTTTTTTGCCGATTCCTTCAGTACAGTTTAGACTTCTTCCTTCAGTACTATTGGTTGTTAATTGTATGCAGCCTCCAGAAATAGTTGGACATTGACTACCTTTTTGGTACAGTGACTTTATGTATTCTTTCCATCTTCTTTTGATGCTTCCTGCATCACTCAATATTTCGCCCATAGAATCCTTTGGTATTGCCACTCAAGGCGTGAAATTTTTCTTCACTTCTTTCACCTTAAGAAATACTGAGTGTGTTTGTCTCTTTTGGTTTTGTAACTCCAGGTCTCTGCCCATTTCATTGTAATACTTTGTCTTCTTGAGCTGCCCTTTGAAATCTTTTGTTCAGTTCTGTTTTTTCAGCATTTCTTCCATTTGCTTTTGATATTCTCCACTCAAGAGCAAGTTTCAGAGTCTCTTCTGACATCCATTTTGGTCTTCTCTTTCTTTCCTGTATTTTTTATGACCGTTTGCTTTCTTCATGAATGATGTTGATGTCATTCCACAACTTGTCTGGTCTTTGGGCTTTGGTGTTCAGTTTGTTAAATCTATTCTTTAGATGGTCTCTAAATTCAGGTGGGATATAATCAAGGTCATACTTTGGCTCTCCGGTACTTGTTTTAATTTTCTTCAGCTTAACTTGAACTTATATATGTGCAATTGATGGTCTCTTCCATAGTCAGTAAATGCCTTGTTTTACTGATGATAATAGTCAGCTTTTTCATTGCCTCTTTCCACAGATGTAGTCAATCTGATTTCTGTGTATTCCTGGTGGCAAAGTGCACATGTATAGCTGCCATTTATGTTATTGAAAAAAGATACTTGCATTGAATAAATAATTGGTCTTGGAAAATTCTGTCATGTCATCTCTGATGTCATTTTTATCACCAAGTCCATGTTTTCCAACTACTGGTGATCTTTGTTTCTAACTGCCACATTCTGGTCACCAATAATTATCAGTACATGTTGATTGCATGTTTGGTCAATTTCAGACACAGAAGTTGGTAAAAATCTTCAATTTCTTCATCTTCAGCTTTAGTAGTTGGTGGGTACATTTGAATAATAGTGATGTTAACTGGCCTTCCTTGTAGGCATATGGATATTATCCTATCATTGACAACATTATATTTGAGGACAGATCTGGAGATGTTCTTTTTGATGATGATAGCAATGCCATTCTCATCAGTTTGTCATTCCTAGCATAGTAGAGCATAATATGATTGTTGGATTCAAAATGGCCAATACAGTCCTTTTTAGCTCACTGATGCCTAGGATATTGATTTTTATGTGTTCCATTTCACTTTTGACTACTTGGAATTTTCCTAGATTCATATTTCATACATTCCATGTTCCGATTATTAATGGTTGCATAATTGGAACATGGGATGTATGAAGTTACTTGCCATAAAATGACATTATCCATTGTTCCTGCTCTTGGAGAAGATTTCTTTTGGGATTTTACCTGCCTTGAATTCTCTGTTATTTGTTATGTGCTGTCAAGTTGAACCTGACTCATAGTGACCCCTCCTTGGGTTTTCAAGGATGTATCACTATGGAAGTAGATTGCCCAACCTTCCTTCCAAGGAGTGGCTGGTGAGTTTGAACCACCAGCCTTCTGGTTAGCAGTCATTCCCTACTGAGATGTTAATTGCATGTTTATAAGGAAGTGTAATGATCTACTTTTATGTAATGGAGCTATTTTTGCAAATTAGCCCACAGTTTATCTACCTGATTAATCTTACTAATTAAAAAATAATTGAAAATGACTTTAAAAGGCTTTAAGAATTCTTTTAGATTTCTGTTTTTCCAAGTTGTGTTTTATGGAACACTAATTCTATATAAAGGAGCCCGGGTGGTACAATGGTTAAGTGGTTTGAACCCACCCAGCAGCCCCACAAAGGAAAGACCTGGTGATCTATTTCATAAAGATTACATCCTAGAAGACCCTACGGGGCAGTTCTACTTTGTCACGTTGAGGTTGCTGTAAGTCAAAAATTGACATAATAGCACTTAACACCAGCATCAATTCTATGTAAGGCTTATTTTTTTTAATGTGAAAAAGAGACATCTTTCATTAATGAAATTAAGAAAATCCTGGGTTACAGGAAGATTTTTTTTTTTCATTTTATCAAACTGTTAAATATACTAATGTATACTTTGAAAAGTTTGGTATGATACACACTTTCCATTGAATGCTTTGTGTGTATTTGGAGAATCTTTTTGAGACCAGGGAACACAGTTTAGGAAATGCTGTTTTAGACCAACCTCTAATAGGAAGGAAGCTGAGAAGCATGAAAGTTGTTTATGTCAAAGATGACTAAGCCAGTTAACTACATCCAAGGTTTGTGACTAATATTTGCTGTGTTTGGTTGTTTCAGGGGAAATTATATTGAAATCACCTAACTGAGCTCATTGGACAGTGAAGTGGAAAGAAGGGTGGAGAACTGACTTGAGCTAACCCCTGCTGTAATCCTGCAGCAGTTTTCATTTGGATTTTTTACCTCTTCCCCATCTCAAGCCTAGCAAACTTTTTCTTACCTGGACAGAAGTTTACTCAAAAATGAACTGGGGTCATAGAAAAGCAAAGAGGTTTCAATGCTAATGTGTATGACATAGTATGATATTATTATTCTACTAGTTAAAGCATTACTGAGAAGAGACATCATCTTTGTTTCTCTCCTGGTTCTTCACAGTGGGAGTGTGGCTTATTTCTGTTTATTCATTACAACTAAATTCAATAGTAGGAAAGCAATTATAAGATGCTTGGAGAGTAGTTTAGTAATTTCTGCTGGCAGTTGGGCATACTAATTTTTCTTCTTCTTTTTTTTTCTCAGCTACAACAAAGGAAATTTTTTGTTCTCTGTAAAGCAAACCACTTAGCAAAATGTAATGTTGGGTACTTAGTGAGCCTGAAAACTCAGGGAAGAGTTTGAATTTTCTTTCTACGTCTATAAAAAGTACAAAGATTTGGAAAACTCTATTATATGGAAGATGGTTTGGTGGGAGAAATTTCCGTCTGTCCTTCGTCTCTCTTCCTCATATACTGATGTATTAATTTATATGACATCCAAGATAATGAACATGGCACAGGGCCTTGCACCTGGTAGAAACTGAGAGATTTATTAAATTAATTCATTTAGGAAGTAAGAGACAGTTGAACAGGAAGAGCGCCTTAAGCCTGAGTAGTTTAATTCATACTCTTAGGTTATCAGTACATTCTTTACTTGGACTTACCTAGAAAATTGAAAGAGAGAAGATAGTAATTCTTGTTTCAAATTTACATTATTAACATCTAAGCAGTCCTTGCATCCTTTATTATAATAGAAAAAAAGTATCATTTGTTGCCATATTTCTGTAAACCTTTAAGAATCTGGTGACAACTCTAGACCTTCTCTCCAGAAACATACATGAACATAAAAGTGTATGCATTGTATTTTGGGACTTTTATAGAGATGATATTCTATTCAAAACACTGACTTGAACTTGTCTCTCTTCAATTCAGAACCTTTAATAATACTTCATCCTCTATGATATAGATTGCAGATTTCTTGAGATTGTTTATCAGGAGCTTTTGTGACTCAGCCTTGGACTGTTTTCAGCCTCACCTTATTCTACAACATATTACACCCTATGTTCTAATAAGACTCTTGGCTGTACCCTATATCATTGCCCACTGAGATGTCCATACCTTTGCTGATGTTTTTTTCTTTTCCTACTTTGTCCATTGGAATTCTGTTTTTTGCTCGAAACCTAATTCAAATGCAAAGCCTTGTACTAGTTCCTTTACCCATTGCTGTTGAGTTGATTGATTCTGACTCATAGTGACCCTATAAGCAACAATATTTCCTCTTTTGTACTCCCATAGATGTTTTAATCCTCTTTCTGGCATTTAAGTTCATTTTACCTTTGTTTTCATAGAAGGAGGGTAATCTCTTGGGAAATAGAACATTATTCATCACTCTGTATTCATAGTCCTTTGCAAATCATAAGTGCTAAAAACTTGTCTGAGGACGAAGCAGGCAGTCTGCTGGTAATTATTTTCTCTTTTTCAGTTAAGACAATTATGCTGTAATGAAAAACCAAATCAGAATCACTGAAAGAACTTTTTTTTTTAATTTTTAAAATGAATTATAAATACAATTTATAATTTTTTTTTTTAATAGATTCCTGGGCCATTTTCTAGCCAGAGTTAGTGAACTTGGAGGTAGAGCTCATACATACTACTCTGTAAATGCCCAGTAGGTTCTGGTGTATAAACAGCTTAAGGAAATGGTACATTTCCATGTCTTCAGATTTAGTTAGATTTAAATTTCAATTTAAAAAATAAGAGGCAGCAGCCTCTTTTGCTCGTTTGGATCACGTGCCACTCCTGCAGAGCAGTCACCTGTGACGTTTGGAAAGCATGATAGTAATTCCAGAAAGTCTGGTGAGCCGTGACAGAATCCATAAAAGTGTGACCTGTGGGGTCACTGTATGGGATTTGTTCATTCTCTGCTAATACTTATTTTCATTCTCTCTGTGTTTGTAGGACATAGCTCGCATTTTGCAAGAAAAGGAGTTACAGGAAGAAAAAAGACGAAAGAAACACTTTCTAGAGTCCTCTGGAGCCAGTGCTTATGGAGATAGTTACTATTATGAAGATGGAGGTAATAATAACTACATCATAACCTACTCCATCCTTAGACTCATTCGCAAGACACTTCTTTTAAATTTGTCCATAAAGTGTACCTGGGAAGGTTTCTCCTATCCAAAGGCACTGGGTTCATTGAGATTGATGGCTAGATTCTATTTGAATCTAATGAATTCATCTGTTGTTTGGATGAGAAGTCATTTTTTTTTTTATGGCTATTAAAACTTGAATATAGTTTTGTAATAATTGGCATGCATTCTTGTGTTCCGTAGCCAGTCAGAATGCTGAATTGCATTCTAATCACATGAAGTTGGTTGTACAAAATGCAGGGCTTTAAACTGGTTTGAAACAGTACAGTCGGTGGCCAACAGAGCTTACAGATTGCATAACAACCAAATCTCTTTTGCACAGGATTTGAACCCAACTGGGAAAGAGGCAGAAGCCCTGGTAGTGCAGTACATAAAGTACTCGGCTGCTAAACAGATGGTCCCCTGCTCTATAGGAGAAAGATATGACCAGTCTACTTCCATAAAGATTTATAATCCTGGATACTGTGGAGCTGTTCTACTCTGACCTATAGGGTTGTGTGAGTTGGAATTGATACGATGGCAGTCAGTTTAGGAAACAGGTAGCAGTACCCTGCTCAGAGATGGCAGCTGACTGTGCCACTTTTGAATGTGTTGTTGGCTGCCATCTTTGAGCAAGGCACTGCTGCCTGTTATGTAAGAGATTTGGTTCCTATCCAGCATGTGTGCTCTATCAGCCATGACTGAACCTAGTTCAAAGCCCTGGCAAGATGGTGAATAAGTCTTTGGACTTGACTTTTTCAAGGAAGTCTGGGCAGTACTGTATGAAGCAACAAAGTGTGATGAATAAAGAAGGTACACTGTGTATCAGTTACTGGGTAACAGAACTTCTTTCTATGCGTCTCTTTTTAATTTACACAAGTGATTTTGTCTGCTGATGCTAAACAATATTAGGTTTAAGATTTCCTATTCATTCTTTCCTGTTGATGCTTTTTTGCTCTCTGATTACAATATAGAATAATTTCTACCTAGGAGAGAAATCCTTTTAAAGTGTGCCTTCTCTAGTGCCTGCTTTTGCACTGTGGTGGCGGCAGTTGTGTTATTTGTGATTCTTTATCTTAAGAGTGTGTTGGGAAAGGAAAGGAGTATTATTTTTCAAACATCTCTCAAAAGAAACACATTTCTGTAGTTTCTGGTGTCAGTGTTTGCTGAAGAGCAGACTTGGGATTTTGAATAACTAGAGAAAATGAATAAAACCTAACGGCAACTAAGTCTTTGAGAGTGAGTATTTTAAGGTCAAAGATTCCAAAGGCCCTGACAAACTAAGTATCAGTCACTTCTCTGTGATTCCATTATAAAAAGCTAAGTGGGCGTTTGTCTTTGATGAACGAAATGAAAGACATGCATATATAAAGGTGGAAATATTACCACTCTTGCCCATGGCTCACATGGTTCTAAATTTATCATAATAACAGAGCTCAGTCTTATGGCCTGTTTAGTAAGCAGGTTGATTTTCTATCTTTATTGCTTGATGTGTTCTGCCTCCATTTGTAAAATGCTCAGCTCTTTTGATAGCTGTCTTCCTTATGTTGGTTTTTCTGATGAAATTATGTATTAGATCATTTAAAAAGAAAAATTGCTGCTGTATTTTGCTGTGCTAGAGAACAGAAGGTAAGGAGTTGTTCTTTGGCTTTAATTAAATTCTTAGAAATGTCGTTGGGTGTTTTTTGATTGTTTTTATTTTCAATTTTGCTCTGCAGGTGTATTCACTACATATAAAGTAACTATTTAAATCTATTTTTAAAGCATTGGCATTGCAAGTAATTACATATACTAAAATATTAATTTTAACCTTTCTCTATTAAAGACTTGTATCAACTTGTTGATTAGAACTCAAACCTGGTTATTTTGACCAGCATTATGTCTACCTGATTCGTATTTCGAGAACAGGGACTGTGTTAAAAATTGAGTGGTTTTTCAAGGGTACTAAAAGGAGCTCTGGTAGCATAGTGGCTAAGGCACTTGACTCCTAACCACAAGGCTGGTGGTTCAAACCCACCAGCCACTCTTTGGAAGGAAGATGGGGCAATCTACTTCCATAGTGATACTGCCTCAGAAACCCAAGGAGGGGTCTCTATGAGTCAGGTCCCATTCGATGGCATGTAACAACAACAACAACAACAAAAGTTAAAAAGTATCTTTTCAGTTTTCATTTAATGTACTTTTTTGTAAGTTTTTAGAGAGTGGTATATTTATTTGGTTTTTAGAGTCGGAAAATTAGGGAATAGGAAGTAATGATCTTTCTAAGCATGCTTGTGTTAGAATTGGAGTTCTTCTCACCTCCACTTTGTTGTTGTTGGAAGATTATATATTGCTAAATATGCAGTCCATGCTTTTGAGTTAGAGAAATGTGTATTCTACAGAAACCACATTATAGTTCAGCTCATATTTACAAAGCAGTCCTTATATTCTTTGCAGTGATCCTTTCCCAACACATTGTGGATATTCTTTCATTGTACTTCTCTATCTTTATGTGTAATATGATTTTGCTTTACTTACATAATAATGACAGTTTAGCATTACAGAAGTGGTCTATTTTAAGCTTTTAGTTTAATTAATCTTTAATAATTTAAACCTTTAACACTGATCATAAATAGATAGTCTGCAAATTTGCAATTATCTGAAACATCTGTCACATTTATAGCAACTGTGAAATTCTGTGGCTTTCCATTTGTGAGTCCATGTTTTTCTTTCAAAACCACTTACTTGTATTTCAGATAGATAGATAGACAGATGGATAGAGACAGAGAGAGAGAGTCTTAAGACCTGGGTTCACATTTTATCCTTTCCTTAAAACAAGTATAATTTTAAGAAAGCTTTCTATAGCTTTCTATTATAATCTCCCTAAGCTTGGTTTTTCATCTGTAAAATGAAGATTCTAAAAATCCATCTTTTACAAAGATGTTGAGGAGGTCAAATAATGTGATTTTGGTGAAAGATAAACTGTAAAGTGCTATTATTTATACATATATTAATATTGTATGTGTATAATACAGGGTTTTGTATATCTAAAGGAAAGTAATTTCATTTTGAAAGACAAACATGGAGGCACACGTATAAAATATATATAGTTTCTGGCTATGAGGGTGTTAATTATATTTGCCAAATAACTTGATACCAAGAAACATGTAACTCTCAATCCTCAACTAGAATGGGCAAATTTTAGAGAATTCAAACAGATTCCCTCCACTCCTGCCTTTTTCATCTTTTAGAGGTTTAAAAATACCTTATCCGGTGAAAAAGCAATAAATATTTATCCTAGTTGACTCTGAAAAATGTGGTGATAGTTCTTCTCTAATATTTACAGTATATTTTCTCCTCAAGTAAAGCTACTAATATTGTTAATTATTTAGAAGGAATTAAAAAAACAAAGCAATCATAGTGTCACAGGTCCCTGTTAAAAACAAACAAAACCCTTCTTGTTTCTTTTAGGTTTAAAGGAGATCTGCATTCATGCAGCCCTTTGGATGTGTTTTGGTACTAACCCTGTAAACCATTGTTCCCAGCATGTGGCCCTTCATTAAGTAGCCAGTCAATACAATGTTTGACAATCATACAATCATAGAAATAATTGATTCTTTCTCAGCTGTCAAGATACATTTAAAATAAGTTTCATTAAATGAGCAAATCCATTCTTATCCCAGAGAGTGATTGTTCTGTTTCACTTTTATTTTGTATAAAACTGTACATTATGAAGATAGATACTTTTACAGACTGTTTAGAAGAAAGATTTTAATTTACATGTTATCTTTGTAGTAAATTTCCCTTTTCCTAGAAAACTTAAGGGAAAACAATTTGAGGTTTTGGGGTGAAAGCTTACAGCAGCAATGATGCAGTTAGCTAATCTTTCCCCCTTGCTCTATTTGTTTATCAGACTAACAGTATTAGATTAAAAATAAAATCTTAAAAACTAAGAAATTGTATAGTCCTTTATCTTCTCTACATCTCATCAACTTATGATGGCTGTTTCAAATCCAGATCAGCAAGTGATTGATTCTAGCAGGGAGCATGCATAACCAGTTATTTTAGCAATTTATCATGAACTGAGGACTTTTTTTCCTCTTAAAACTTAGGTATAATCTTGAAAATAATAAAATAAATACACTTTGTGAAGTGCATATCATTTTACTTCCGTTGTTCTCACAGTAGGCTTTTGTCTACGTGAGACCTGACAAAAGCACCCATCTCTGTGCTGTTTTTGAAATTTCTGTTAAACTTTAGGATTTGTATATTTGACATATGCTACAGTCTGTCTTTATACAAAGACTAAAGTATCATAATTTTTTAAAAAATATATATTTAGTAAGTGACCCCTTTATTTTTTCATTATGGCATCCTTAATTTTTTTTTTTTCTGCCAAGTTTCAATTAACAGGAATAGAGTTATCTAATGATAGTAGGATCATTTGCTCGTTACATTCTCCTCTACTCTGCCCCCTTCTGTATTGAACTGTACTGTAGGGATGTTCTTTGACAGGAGTGCCAGTGTTTGCTTTGACCACCTGAGGGGGGGGGGGTAGAGGAAACTGTGGATTATTTTCTGAAGTAAACTTTATTATCATTCCTAATAAGAATAGTTGGAAATCTTTTGACTGAAATCACAAAGCTTAATTTATTTTTCCATTTTACAAGACTCCTTCAACCATCATTATTTTACCTTTACCGATTCTAAATTGGAGGACTCTGCTAAATTGGTTTTATAAGTAGAATTTAACATTCAGTGGTTGTAATTGTTGTTATTGGCAAATATTCAAATACTTTATAACTCTACTTAATCGTGATCAAGTGCCTCTTTCAGATTTATGCTCTTTCACTTAATTTTATTTTAATTTTTTACTTTTTTGGGTTTGCACTCAGAATCTTTCCTGTATGCATGGACCATTTCAGTAAATGCTCATCCACTCTACTCAATTTGTTAAGGTGAAAAAGATGTTTTCTCTATTATAAAATATGTTAAACACGGGCCCTGTCTCTCCCCTGTTTAGTGAGGTCATGCTCTCATTAAGTTAACCTCCGTTTCTATTTTTTACATCCTTCCATCTCCACTCAGACCAGCCAAGGTCAAGGAGGGCCAGAGAATTAGATTCAGAATTCTCAAGGCCTTGTAGACTCAAAAATGATGGAAAGCCTATGATGCAGAAGGAGAAACCAAAAATTCTGCTGGATAACTTGGAAGACCTGGAAGAACACTGTTCACCAGAGCAATCTCTGTCATCCTGTCGCCAGGGCAAAGTGAGGGACAATCTCCAGATTACCAGTGAGCAGCGTGAAGGGAAACGGTGTGGTTATGAGAGACTACGGAGACCTCCACTTCCCAAGATCAGTGGCGAGGTGTTTCTGAACACTGAATCTGATGACTGGGAGGCAAATAGTAGCCATCGAACTCTGAAAAAACAGTCACGACACCAAGATCAACTTTCACCTAAGTCCTCACAGCAGGCTGGGTTTCACACCAAGGAAGTTGTATATGGGAGGGACCATGGGCAGGGTGAGCACAGAGAAAGGAGACACAGGCCAAGGAGGCCAAGGACTCCTCCCTTTTCAGAGAGTGAGGAACGGCTCCACCTCAGTGACACAGGTAATAAACGACAGTCTCATTAGAAGCCCCCGTACAGACCAGTATACTTAAAGAGCATCTTAGGTAACCCGTTCTTCACTTGGTGCTCATGGCTTTGACGTAAATCCTCGAGCCAAATATTACAAATGTTAATCTCAGGTCTGTTGGAAGAAGAAAAACATTTGTACCTTTTCCCTTCTGCTTCTGAGAGAATGTTCCAACTCCTTGAAAGTATTTTATAATCCCAGGTAGTACAGTGAAGGTACCAGTTCTTCATTTTCGAAAACCATGCATCTGAGATTCTAATACCAAATCAAAGCATTTGCATTTCTGGTTTTACTTAAGTGAATCCCAAAGATCCCACAGTGTTTGCCTAACTAGAAGCCCCAGGGCTATAAGCACTAGATTTCCTTTGCCTCATTTTTTCCATCTATAAAATGGAGAGTTGGATAGCCAGTTCTTTAAGGTAGCAATTCTCAAATTGTGAGCTTAAGTTTGTTTTCATCAAAATTGATTTTGATGAAATTGGCTGTTTGATGAAAACACAGTGTTCTGGATCTCACTTATATTACGGAATTATCCTCTCTGGACTGGGGCCTGGATATTTGGGCATGTTTTAGTCTGGAGGTGATTCCTAAATATTTTAATGTCTGAAGTTGCCTTAAGTTAATTTTTATGCTCTTACTCCAACTCTGACTCTATAGTTGGTGTTCTGAAGGTCCTATACCAGATGAGTCTTGGTACCTATAGGAATGAGGTGACTATTAAATTCCTGACATCGCTGAGGCTTAATTCTGAAGTCTGTCATTGACACAGTAATGGCTCTCTCTGTTCTTGTCTGATACCTGTTGTAGTGATGTTTTCCATGTGGCTATTACAGTAGAAGTTGTAGCATCATACTGTGTAGTATTGTAGTTACACCATACTTCTTTCTAGTTCCATTTTATTACTATTGCATTTGACAGAGGTGGGATAGTTACTGGCAAAGGAGGACCAAAGAGGCACCTCTTGTTATTTTCTTCCTCATCCTTGCCCAGTCAAGCTCCACTTCTGATCTGGAAACCTGTTTCTGGGTTGCAGATTCAGGTTGAAGTCAGGTGGTTTTCTCTATCACTTAATCTGTTACTACAGACTTGGTTATAAAGAAGATTAATATTCAGTTCAGGAAGCCATAGTGAGTAACTACTGTAAGTATTCTCATTTCAGGCTTTATGCCTATATCTGAACCTCAAAGGGTAAATAAGCCAAAATGACTGATACATAAACAGACAATCACAAATCTGATATATTCTGTTCGTAGACAAAGAGCTGTGGGAGAAGAGAGGAGGAAGTAATACAGTCTATCTGGGGTGGACTTCGTGAGGATGCTCTACTACATCCAGCTTTAGAAAGACCAGTTAGGTTCCACAGGTGGGGGAAGTGTGAGGGAGTGACGATCACATTGAACTCCACATTCTGATTCTGTGAATCTGAGCTCATGTGATCTGAGGACTGGCTAACCTATATGGCTATTAGTCATACTTCAGTGTATCTTAAACAGGCTCAAGAAGCTTGAAAGTAACATTGACTCACAGCCCCTAGAGGGGGTCACAGGCAGATAGCCCTTTTTTTTTTTTAAATGTATTTTTACCAGCACATTAAAATGCGTATGACATAAGCTGCTAAGTGCCTGTATCATTTTATACTCAGTTGGCTTTACGAAGTTTTACAAATTTTCACTCCGTATACTGTAGATGTTTGATTTTAAGACCTCCTAGAATGGATGGGAGAACTGCATTAAATTCCATTTGCTAGGTATCAGTCTGAATTTGAATTCTTGCTTTATAAAAGCACAAGTTTTGTTGTGGCCAAGTTCTGTTTAACTCAATAATGAAGAAACTAGTAGGGCAACAAAGACCTAATTATAAGATCATTTGCAGAACAGGATTTATAGAGTCAGTTGAAAAAAGAGTGCAAAATGAAATTGCCAAATTAATATAAAATTGGTTAAGTTTCCACAGGGCAATAAAACCATACCACTTTTTTTGAGGATACTTTATTGGACTGTAAAATCATAACAGCTTATCATTTTCTGTAGATTAACGTCTAACCTCTCAGGGTCATAAAACATTTACATCTTTCAGCTGTGAGTTATTAGTCAAATATACTGTAATATTTCCCAACAGTGTCAGACTGGCTTGTTACAGAATGCTCTTGCATGATATCAGAGAATCATCAATCATTATTTTCCATTTCCCCTTTTTCCAAGTTTAGGATAAATATTTTTTGAATACCATTATTCTAACAATTTTATCATACTCCTTTAGAATATATCTTAGGGAGAATATGAATAGCAAAAGATAAGGAAGAATTAAGAAGTCAATGAAGAACTGTTGAAAATATGGCTCACCTGATTGAAAACTAGGTGCCAGATTCTGTTTAGTCTACCAAGATGAGGCCAGCCATTTTGTTACTTTCCTTCAGTTGACTTTTTTAAAAAATTCTTTTTTAAAAGCATCTTCCATTTTCTGTAACGACAGCCTTACACTGCCTATCTTCCATTCTTAAATATTTATAAAATCTCCTGTCACCTCTGGTACAGAGTACCCTGAGATAAGTGGGAAGTCTTGCCAGTTGATTTAGATTTGAAATATTGATTACAGTGCAGATGTATTTCTTTATTACAGATATAGAAATAGAGGAATTAATTAGGTCTTACTAGAACATTTTTCTGTGTTTGGAGCACATTGCTTCACCTGTGTCTGGATCTCATTGCTCACAGAGTGCTACTGTTTCTGAGCTCTCTGAATTGAAGTGTGTAAGACTGAATTGGTGATGATGAATTGGTAGATGAAAAGCCTATCATCTCCTCAGGTCTTGATAGCTGAGCCCCTTTAAAACCCAGATTCTGTAACTTTCTTTTCTCTCAATTCTTTCTACTTCAGTGACTTTCTTTTTTTTTTTTTTCTCTTTTCCCTTTCACTTCCTGTTTTGCTAAGACCTCAATTGCAGTTCCTTACATGATTTTTGCCATTGAAGAAACTATATGAGAGAGGAGTTTTTACCAGGCAGGTTCGAGTAGGTAACTTTACTTAAAGGTGTCAATTTTCTGCACTGCCATCCTTCAGACTTGTTGTTGTTGTTGTTTGCCGTCGAGTCGGCCCCGACTCATAGCGACCCCTCCTTGGGTTTCCGAGGCAGTATCACTATGGAAGTAGGATTGCCCAACCTTCCTTCCGAGGAGTGGCTGGAGGGTTTGAACCGCCAGCCTTCTGGTGAGCAGTCAAGTGCCTTAGGCACTATGCTACCAGAGCTCCTATCCTTCAGACTAGGGGGAAAATATTCCAAGTGCACCATACTCAGCAATCATAATTCTGGAGTGGAAGATTCTGCTGTTGTTAGATAGCAAAGAAAACTTACCTTAAATTTTATAACTTTCCAGAAAACAACCTCAGTTATCTCTCATCACATTGAGTTTTGTCTAGGAACAAAACCAAGAGGGGTGAAAGAAGCTATCTCTACTCCATCACGAGTGACCCACAGGGATCAAGAGTGGTATGATGCTGAAATTGCCAGAAAACTGCAAGAAGAAGAACTTTTGGTGAGTGCATTTCACAACAAAAGTTCGAGTGAATCAGTGGGACATTTTTTTTTTTTAAAATGAATTAAATCAACCTTGAGATTATAGTTGAAAAACTTACAGAATTTTTTAATGAGTGGAAAAATCGAGATAAAAGGAGTAGAGTAAGTGTTCAGTTTTACTAAAGAAGCATTGTCAGTAAAACTGTACATCTCTGTTTCTCCACTGTTTATTTATTCTGACACTCCAACCACCTGCAGTAGAGTTTTGTAAAAGTGTACTCAGATGTGGCTGGTGAAAGTCCACCAAATTAAGGCATGTTAATCACAGCTAATTTCAACTACCTGTTTGTTTTTATATACGCAAATCACTGCCATCGAGTCGAATCCGACTCATAGCGACCTCTCTGGTTTCTGAGGCAGTATCACTACAGAAGTAGATTGCCCAACCTTCCTTCCAAGGAGTAGTGGATGGGTTTAAACTGCCAGCATTCTGGTTAGCAGTCACATGCCTTAGGTACTACACCACCAGAGCTCCCATTTTTAAATAGGTCTTTTTTTTAAAAAAAAAATGGGCCATTTGGAGTCCAGTTAAATTTCTCTTGTTTGTGTTTTTTTACTACAGGCTACCCAGGTAGATATGAGAGCAGCTCAAGTAGCCCAAGATGAGGTGAGTTCATGCTAGTTCGTACACTTGTTTAACCAACATTTTCGCAAAATATCTCAGTACTTTCCTATCCACAACTCTCCAGTTAATGATACTGACTGAATGTTGTTTAGGAAATTGCTCGACTGCTAATGGCTGAGGAGAAGAAAGCTTACAAGAAAGCCAAGGAACGGGAGAAATCATCTTTGGACAAAAGGAAGCCTGACGCTGAGTGGAAGGTAGGGGTATATGTATGCTTTTTACTCTCCTGTTTCACTTAGAAATAAAATGAGAAATGAAAAGGGGATTCTGCTTTTAGGATAAGGTCTGCAACTGTAAATATATTTAGGGTATAAAAATATCTGTAATGTATATGTGAAGCCTGACTTTTAAAAATTGTTTCATTATGAAAAATAATAATTCATATATCTGTATAAAATTAATGCTAGGATTAAAAAAGTGATGCCTTTAATTTTAAGATCAACAGAGATATACATGCCTTTCGTTATGAGCTGCTTTTACTGTACTTACAATATGGGAAAAGTTACCATATAGTGCAGGAAAATGTAGTATTTTCAAATTTCCAGTGGCCACTCTCCCTCTCTCTACTTTCTCTGTGTGCTTGTATTATAAAATGCCACCTATTTCTTTTTCCTTTGACATAACTTGATTCAAGACAAACTGACAAAGATACCTATCACTGGCTCATTGCTTGTCAAAGTATAAGAACTGTCTATGAGCTTTGACTGTCCTTCTGCTCATTATTCAGAAATAGTTGAGAAAATAGGCAGTTACTGCTGTAATCTGATTGTTGTGTGTGGTGGTTTTAAGTTCAGTTTAATAGCCTTTACTCATCAGGTACTGTGTGTAGGGTACCACTCTGGACTGAGAGAAAGACAAAGCTAGGTTTTCTTGATAATAGTGTATAATGTAGAGAGGAAAACAAGCTGTCTTCAAGTTCAAACATGTTCAGACAGCTAACAAATACAAGGCCACTCTGGGTGAAGCATTGTGGAAGAAGAGCAGAGGAGAGGAGGAAGAGAATTCATACCACAAAGCTCTTTTAGGGAAGAAGTTTGCGCTAGGTCCAGAATGCAATTTAGGTGTGTATTCATGATGCAGTTGATATTTAGAACTGTTCTCTCCCTTGGACAATTTCTTCCCCTGGGTTTCTGGTTCTATCTCATAGTCTTCACAGTGGTTATGAGGGAAAAGAAGACACATATAAACAATGACAGTGGTACTTCTCTACTATTTTCTGGTGCTTGACCCCTGGTGGCACAGTGGTTGAAGTGCTCAGCTGCTAATAGAATGGTTGGTAGTTGGAACCCACCAACCCCTCTACTGAAGAAAGATGTGGTAGTCTGCTTCAGTTAAGATTATAGCCTTGAAAACTCTATGGGGTGGTTCTGCTCTGTCCTGTAGGGTCACTATGAGTTGGAATCGACTCAATGGCAGTGGGTGAAATTATACAGTTGTCAGTCTCAAAACAAAGTGTTATTTCTATGTTATGTGTTTTTAGCTACCTCTCTTTTACTGTCTTAGTGATTTAAGATTTTTCCTGACAAATGTATTTTATTTTAGTAGAAGGATTCTCAGATGATTGTGCTACAAAAATGAATTGCCCAGGAGTTACTCAGATTCTCAGTTAAATTCAACTAGAAAACTTTAGGCATTTTAAAGATGACACATCAGGAAGGTAAGAGGGATAAGGCCATGTTTCTAGCAGGTATCAAGACTTCTGCAATTTCCAGATTCTAGAACTGGTACTGGTACAATTCGTCTCCTAGAAAATTGACTGGGGCCATTGGTTTCTGGCTTGAAACTCATCAGTCCTAAGTCAAGTGTTAAGAAATAAGTTTGAAAGCAAAAACCTAGATTTTATAGTCTCTGGGAATCAGCCCATTGTTGTCAGCTTCCATGCAGCTGTTCTGTTGATAACACTGTGGATGTGAGCATGTTCACCAATGTTAGCCCATTCATCTGGCTGCACTGACAGCTGCTATATGCCTTGGTGGCTATATTTTTTTCTTCTTGTGTTTAAAAATACTTTATATTGGCTAACTAAATGTAAGTTACCTGAAATTACTGTAAAGGAGAGTTTGACATGATTTCCTTATCTTCAAAATCTCATCTTTCTATTTGTATGTTTGCTGTTTCTGTATGTGTGTTTTTCTTTTTTCTTTTTCTCCTTAGCCAAAAACAGCTAAGTCAGCACTCCCAAAGTCAAAAGAGAATGATGAACCTCACCGATGGAAGAATGACAGGCCAGCACGGTAAGCTGACACCTGAAAAGGAGAGTGAGGAACTTGACTGTGGGGTGAGTGAGGAGATGTCTGTTGCTCGAGAAGGGTGTTTATTTTTTGAAGAGGAGGTACAGAAGCCTGCAGTTGTGACATAGGATTGAGTCTTGGAAGTTAATTCTGAAACTTTGCTTCTAGTTTTAAATCAAGTTGCACAGTCACATCAGGCCGATTTGGGGGAATTTTATAGAAGCTGGATTTAATAGGGAAGGATGTGCTTTTTGTTGGGATGAATCCTGGCCTTTAGATTCATTGAACTAGGAAGGGATGAGGTGTACCATGTTCTTAAGTAAAATTTTAAGTTTTACTTAAATTTCTAAGTTGTAAAATTTTGCTGGGTTTCATGCTCACACTTGTGTGTGCCTGGCATCCACCCATGCTCAGATTCATTTTTATCCGAGTCTCAGTATCTTAGACACACTTCCTTTGGTCATTACAGACTCTCTAAGTCCTGCTAGAGAGATAGCTGTGGGTATGGTTGCTTGAACAATTTCTCTTAGAAAGATCAGCATGAGGCTGGTCCCCATGAGGCAGAGGTCAAAGATGTCCCAAATGTCCAAACTACCGTACCACTTCATCATTTCAGACATTAACTCCTCCTCCTCCTGCCAGTAATTTCCCCAGTCTTAGGGTTCTGTATCTTGCTGTAACGCCTCACAGAACTCACAGACACCCAAGGGTTCCTCTCACATAGTAATGGTGGAGGCTGGCAGGCTGGCGAGTCCCGGGTCCGTGAGTAGGTCTGGCAGATCCTCCCAACTCTCGGGGTTTGATGAACCTCGATCAGCAGATCAGATGTCGGCTGCTGTCCCAAATCCAGGGGTGAGATGAGGATGATCCAAGACACAAAGCCCCAGAGCAAGAGGAGAGTGAATCTTCCCAGGAGATTAGTAGGTATACCCTCAGGGAAACTAAGGGTGGTGATTTGAATTATACCCTCCAGCAAGGCAGGACTCAAGATACATTCCACCTGTGTTGCCCCAACAGAATTAACCTAAATCCCATCACAGAGTCGATTGCCAGTCATTATAGGGAATGACTACTACCAGCTGCCCAGCCAAGTTGATACCTGACCTTAA